AATGCCCTCAGTATGTACACCAGGTAGGACGTCAAAGTTACTGCCATTCTTTTGTCCTGCAGTTCTTATAAATGTATGGGGACACAGAAGGGAACCTGTTTATGTAATGGTACTCAATATAAGGTGTGTAATCCATGAGATGGATGGGTAGCTGTGTCATAGGCAACATTAAGCCCTCTTTCTTCCTATTATCTGTTAAGACAGGTGAGCTGTTAAGGTATCAGTCTATTCTGATAGGGAGAAAAGAAACCTAAAAATAGAAGATTGAACAAATGATAAGTGGCCACTGGAGAAAATGATTGAGTATTATGGGCCAGCCATATGGGCAGAGGATGGCTCATTGGGATACCAGACCCGTATTTACATGCTCAACCAGATCATCCAGTTGCAGGCTATTTTGAAAATACTCACTAATGAAACAGGCAAAGCTCTGTCCCTTTTAGCCCAACAAGAAACTCAAATGAGAAACATGATTTATCAGAACTGGCTGGCCCTAGATTATTTGATAGCAGCTGAAGGAGGAGTCTGTGGAAAATTCAATCTAACCAACTGCTGTCCGCACATAGATGACCAGGGGCAAGCAGTGGAGGATATTGTGTGAGACACGACCAAACTGGCACACGTGCCTGTACAAGTACGGCATGGATTTAACCCTGAGTCCTTATTTGGAGGTTGGTTCTAATCCTTGGGAGGATTCAAAACCTCATCATAAGTGTTATAATAATAATAGGTGTTTGTTTGTTGCTCCCTTGTCTACTCCCCCTGTTCCTTCAGATGATTAGGGGATTCATCACTGCTGTAGTTAGCCAAAAAATGACATCACGAGTATATTATATGAAACATTATCAGTCAGTTTCTTCAGAAAATCTCGAAAGTGAGAATGAAAGTGAGACCTCTCACTGATATTATAAAATGGTGAGGGTCCCAAAGGGGGTGGTGAGGAAGGAGACGCAGGCATCTGGGATTCCCTCCCCCTCTGTCATCCACTGTGCATCTCAATAGAAGAGACAGCAGGCCAGCTGGTGCCTCCTGAATCTCCTTCCTGAAAATAACACTCTTGGTATTGGGGAAACTCTCTGGAAAACACTATTTTTAATTAAAACAAGATCAAACCAGAAACCTTTTCACATGTGAGTCCTAAAACTGTAAACCAGAACCCTTTCATATGTGATTCCTGAAACTGTAAACAGAAACCTTTTCATATGTGAGTCCTAAAGCTATAAACCTAAGATTCTTCCATGTGTAACACCTGAAGTATAAGCGTATATAAAGGTAGAACCTTCCTTTGTTAGATGAGCTGGGCGTTGAACAAATTATGCCCAGCTTCCTGGCCGAATGAACTCTTCCTTCCTGTATTCGGTGTTCGAGAGATCCATTTCCCATGGCTGCTCCTGCTACACTGCCTGGCCAAGGGGCTTTCTACAGCTGAGAACAGAATAATATAGCTGAGGCTAACTGTGAAGGATCCACAGCAACTCTTTCTTTGGAAAGAACTCTGGGGGCAGGTCTTTGTGTCTACCACAATGTCTCTGACTAAGACAAGAGAACAAAGAAACTCAGTCTATTTCCTCCTTTTATAAACAGTCTCTTGCTGATCTCAAAATGTAGCTTCATCACAGCTCCAGCCATTTCTGCTGAAAGTATTGCTCTCTACTGTCTTTGTCTCCTGCAAATCCACCCAGATCAGTGTTGTTTTTCTTATACAATTTCCTCTCCTACTCTGGCCTTCAGCTTGGCCTTCTCCCAGAAACAATGCTAGTCTGTATTACCAAATTGGAAACATAACTATTCTGCCCTGTGTTTTTAACATATGCATGTTCTGTCTTCTTAACTAAATTATAAGCCAGGGGGTGCAAACAAAGTTTTATATTATACTCAATTATGTCCATTTGTTAATGGCTACCTGGAAGAGAGCTGTGTTGAGAAGGATTCTGAGTCTGAATCCAAGCTCAGTGAAAAGTACAACCATCACTGATGAACTTCACAGTCACACCAGGGAGAGAGGTGACATACTCTTCAATGTTTGACTTCAAAGTCTGTTCTGAAGTCTCCGCTTGGTGATACATATATATATATACACACACACATACACACACACACACATCAAATATAGTTAAAAATCAAATATATTTACAAATTATAATCTTTACTTGCTAAATGTAGAAATAAATTACTGTAAGTGTCTTAGGTAATCTTTAGTTGTGGAGTCCAAGCCCCTTACAGAGAAGCTCCCATGATACCTACTCAGAAATGAACCTGCCAGATCATCAGATTTTTTACTTCATTAAATATTACCCTATTCCCTTCTAACTTTACATAAGGGGTTCTAGGTCTCTCCACAGCCTCTAAGAATTGCCATTAATCACTTAAAACTCTTAGATTTGTGGACAGAGAAGCTGAACTCTTTAAGATATTTAAAGAGGTTTATCCTGACCCAAATATGAGTGACCATGGCCCAAAGCAGTTTCAAGAGGTCCTGAGAACATGTGCCAAAGTTTGTTGGGTTACAGCTTGTTTCTGTATGTTTCAGGAAGATGTAAGACATCAATCAATACATACGAGATATACATTGGTTTGGTCTGGAATGCCAGAAAACATGAAGTCAGGGATGGGGTACTTGTAGGTCATAAGTGGATTCAAAGATTTTTCTGATTGGCAATTGATTGAAAGAGTTAGGTTGTTATTTAAATACCTGGAATAGAAAAAAGTACCTGGGTTTAAAAAAAAAAGGGTTGTGGAGACTAAGGTTCTAATTATGTAGGTGAAGTCTCATAGTTGGCTGCCTTTGGAGACAATAGTTGGCAAATGTTTCTTATTTACATTTTTAAACAGCACTAGACTCTTAATCTCTTCAAGATTAGGAAGGCCTGAAAGGTGGAAGATCTAGTTATGTTAATAGAGATTCTTTACAGATGTAAATTTTTCCTGACAAAATACGGTTTTGCAAGGCTATTTCAAAATTTGGCAAAGAAACATATTTTAAGATAAAACATTTTTTAATTATTTCATTATCTGTCATGTGAAGTTTTACTAGAGTCAGGTTGGAATTTGATATCTTGTTGCTACAGTCTGTTTTGACAGTCTTAAGAACTCTGTTTTCATGTATATGCTGAACAATTGGGCCTGAACTCCAAAAGAAGAGTGTAATGAAGCAGGTCTGACACTCCCTTCCCATCATGGCTTTAACTAGTTTTTTAGGTTTCTTTGGGTCCCCTTGGCCGAGAGGGGCATCCATTCAGTCTGTTAGAAGGCTTAGAAGTATATTTTTGTTTTACACATTGAACAAGCATGATTCTTAGAATGAAATTAGTAACACATTCAGTTTTGCTTCCCACTGTACTTTGAAATACTCTGTGGGGCTCTTTCCCTGTCTCTACAATGAAAGTCCAGTAGATATCCTAACTTTTCTGTACCCCTTAGGAAATAAAAATCTCATTTCAAGTCATAAAATGTAGTTTTAATTAGAGAATTGAATGCCCAGCCCATGTAAGGGTCAAATTTTAATCTTGATTTAAAATTGAGTCTTCTCCCTCTCCTGCAGCTTGATCCTATTGCAATCTGGGAGCCTGGACTTAGTCAGTGTCTTTGCTCATTTCCCACATTGTGCTGCTGTCATTTCTCTTTCATCTAGCTACAAGGGACTCTGGTCCTGTTAGGGATAGAGCAAGGTAGGGTGAGCAGTGGTAAGGGAGACAGGAGAGTTGACAACTATCCAACAACTATGGGACAAGTCAAAAAAAAAACCTTAGGATAATGGTGATCCTGGATGGCAGAGTAGAAAGACAGAAAAAAACTTTTAAATGTGATTTTTTTTTAAAGCTAATTCATTGGGCATGCCCGGTGGCTTATGCATGTAATCCCAGCACTTTGGGAGGCTGAGGCAAGTGCATTGCTTGAGCCCAGGAGTTCAACACCAGCTTGGGCAATATGGAAAAACCCTGTCTCTACAAAAATACAGAAGTTAGCTGGGCATGGTGGTATGTACCTGTAGTCCTGTAGCAGGAGCAGCCACAGGAAACAGATCTCTCGAACACTGAATACAGGAGGAAGGAGGGTTTATTTGGCTGGGAGCCTTGGGTGGTAATCTGTCCAAAACCCAGCTCCCCTAACAAAGGAAGATTCTGCCTTTATATAGGCATATACTTAAGATGCTACACGTGGAAGAATCTTAGGTTTATAGCTTTACGTATGAAAACGGTCTCGGTTTACAGTCTCAGGAATTACATATGAAAAGGGTCTCAGGTTACAGTCTCAGGAATTACATATGAAAAGGGTTTCAGTTTACAATTTTAGGAATCACATATGAAAAGGGGAAGTTGATCTGAGATGCCTGGCTCTCCCTCTTCAGTCCCAGCTACTCAGGAGGCTGAGGTGGGAGGATCACTTGAGTTTGGGAGGTCAAGGCTGCAGTGAGCTGTGATTGTGCTACTGCACTCCAGCCTGGGTGACAGAGTGAGACCCTGTTAAAAAAAAATTATATACTGATTAACAAGTTGATTTTATTCTATCTATGGGCTTTTTAAAATTAAGAAAGTTTTCACTAATAAATTAATTAATTAATTAATTTATTTTTTAAGATGGTGTTTCACTATATTGGTCAGGCTGGTCTTGAACTCCTGACCTCAGGTGATCCACCTGCCTTGGCCTCCAAAGTGCTTGGATTACGGGCATGAGCCACCATGCCTGGCCAATAAAATTTTTTAAAGATAACAAATATCCAGTACAGTTACATAATTTGTTTTCACTGGCAACAACTACAAATGTTCAGTTCTTTATTAGTGTAGAGGTCATTACAGCTGGTTTAGATGGTTAATATAGGAATAAATAAAATAACTACAGTTCATTCAAACAAAGCAAATTAAAATGAGATTAAAGAGCCATGATAAAAAAAATACAAATTTCAGCTGAAAAACTGTAAAAGTTACATACACACATACCTAATAGCACTAGGAATGTACAATATCAATTATTGGAAAAAATAAGTGAGTGATTCACAGTCATAAGAAATTATTTAACACTAGTATTTTTTCTTTTATAGACAAACATAACATGCACATGGTTTCTACCTTCTATAAGACAAAGTAGAAAACTAACCATTACTGCATTTACCCCAAACACAGCACTGACTGTGCCACAGATAACATGGTCCAAAATATTCAATTCTATAGACAGGCCAAGGTATTGAACACATAGTTAAGTTTTAGGAAAGGCATATATTTCCAGAAGTAAGTATGTTAAATACACAAATATCTATAAATAACAAAAAGTTATCAGGAAAAAGATTTATAACATTCCCAAATTTGCTAACATTTTAAGTGTTTTAGATACATGTTGTCTGACCGGTTAGTTTGGTTACAAAATTAAACTAGCAAACCATTGCCCTATAAGAGGAGCTAAACTAAATTATAACACTGCACAAACTTCCCAAGGAAGGTAACTTGAAAAGTCTAAAAAGTGATTCCAATTATTCTAATTAACATTTGCAATACTAAAAAAATCAATGTCTCAAGGAACACTTTGAAATAATTCAATTTTTCTTCATCATTTTCTAAAAAAGTATTCACATAAATTTAAGATCCAGACTGCTTAAGAGTATGTCTTCAAAGTAGGTTTATCACTACAGGATTTTGATCCAAAGACATAGCCTTAATGCTTCTAAAATGTAATTATAACCTAAAATCACAATCCTTGGTTTGAAAACATCAAAGCTAAGAAACAAAAAAATAAATCAGGGTGAAAATGTGCAGCAGCCATAGCTACAAGAGTGGAAAATAAATTCTATTTTTTCCATAAAGACTCTATGAAAATATAAAGCTCAAAGTCAGTGACAACAGAAGTCCACATATAAATAATGTTTAAAAATTGAAATTTTTCTAAAGCTTTTCATGAGATGTTAATGAATAGCATAACCTGAGTTAAGACCTTATGAATCAAGGTTAAGTTATACAGAACTATGCTGATTTACATACCATCTACAATGTCCAACTATGCATAATTTACAGACACCCATAGGAATTCATAATGACCTATCATATCATCTCTCAATACTGGATGTTTACTGTTTTATAGTTTTACTACTTTAAGTAGCAAGAAGCCTTTTCAGAGGAAGAATCCCATCTCTTCCCTTGATCACCCAAAGTATAGGTAACAAAATATAAAATTAAATAAGATTTAACCAAATATAAAATTCAATATGATTGATGTTTGATAAGCTAACATATAAAATTACCATTGCAATTTTCATAGTGACTGCTTATAAACATAAGTCATCATAAAACTATAAATACTTAGTTTTATAAAAGAAATGCAGATTGTCTCAAGGTAAAAATACAGTGTTTGCTGCTAAAAAGCACTTTGGTGCAATAATGAGCAAAATTTCAGAAAACATGAATATGTTCCCCAAACTTTTAATATTAGTTAAGCAAGAATTGCACTGCAGCAGCAAGATACTTTTTAGTGGCTGACACTATAAAGCTAACATTAAGAAACAAAAAGGCAGAACGTGTGAGCAACAAATGGTATAACCAAATTATTGCAAAGGGAGATTAGCAATAAGAAATGAGGAAGGTGGCCATCCACTCCAGTCTGATAAGACACCATCTTTAAATATTAAGCTTTTTGCAGGAAGTGGAACACCCATGTCAGTGTATGATGACTGTGAAAGCAAACTTGAAAAACTAGCTCATTGTGAATATCCAATGTTGAAGCACCTTCCTGGAATGAGTGAACAAAGTTAAGGACTTGCAGAGAGTTTTCTACTAGAATGTAAGAGGTTTTGAAGGCTCTCTTTTCTGCAAAGGCCATGTGTAGCAATTTTCCTACAAACTTTCTGGTTTAATTCAGAACTGAACAGTGGAATTCCAAAGCACAGCTAAAGAGGAACCCAATCTGCTTCCGTTGTGGAATCAGAGGTTTGCTTTGTTGCTGAATATATAGTTGCTTCCTCAGTGGCTGTTTCAAATGATTCTGTGCTCCCATTTACATCTGGGCCAGAAGCCAAATCAGGTCCTCCTCTCTCATCAGAAGCATCACTGAGTTTTCTATTTGCAGGTTGGCTGGAAGCATTCAACATAGTGACATAGCCACAGAAATGGTGTAAGTCCATTTTTTCCCTTAATATCTGCAATGCTTTATGAACATGAGTGAAGCTCCTTGTAATTCTGTTTCATCAAATGGAAATGGAACATGGACAGTTTCTCCTATTGCATGCAGAGCATTAAAACTGCAGAATGTGTTAAAGCATCATTCAACATCATGAGTACATTTGATAGGAACTACTCCAGGATCATGATCCCAAGATATTGTTAGTAATCAATCATAACTCTGAAATGTATCTGGCAGTTTTCAAAGTCTTGTACCTTTGGACAATAAAAGGGTTGGTGGTCCTTGCCCAGTGATATGATAAATGTACAGTTTAAACCAGACAGAGCTGACTTCTGGGATAGCTGGTTCAATATGCTGAGGGGTGCAGCTGCTGATGGGCCAGATTTTATTGGTGAGGGGAGCCATGGAAACAAGCAGCATGCAATTTTTATTTAGAACACTGCTGCAAGTTGCAGGGTCCAAACCAAGAAGGCTTTCACAGTGTAGGAGATCCAGAGGAAAACCATAATTTGGTCGGTCTGGCTGTGCAGTTTGTGCAACTAGATCTTTGTTATGACACAGAAACAGTATTGTGTTTCTCAGAGTAAGTACATGATCAAGATATCTCTGTGCTTCTCCTTCACCAGTGCTCTGAACCTTTTCTAGTTCTATTAGAAAGCTGTCCAGAGACTCATCTGAGAGTTTATGTACTTCAAACATTGTGACTGCATGACTTTTCAAGTTTGGTGAAAGATTTTCCATCATTAAGAAGGCAGTAAGAGTGGAGTCAAACAGGAATGAAATGCACTTGTGTGTCCTGTAGACAGACTCAGGCTTCTTATGCTGGCTATGTCAGCTGGATATTCTTGACTATTTGTATCAGTGTCAGTTGCCGATGAAGCTTCTTGTACAAGACTCCTACTTTCCCCTCCATCCCATGACAAGAGCATCTTCTGCAGACTTAAGGTACTCTTTAATCTGTTTACGGATGGAACATTCTTCCATGATGAATGAAGTTGATCCAAATTTATTACTTGTCTCTTCTTATGGGCAAAGCCCAATCGGCAATACATTGAAACAACATTCTTAACCAGGGTTAAGTCAATCTCAAGGACATTTGCAAGCTCTGCAACATTTGTGTGCTCATCTATTGAAACAAATATCTTCTAGAGTTTCAATATAATCACCTTGCACTTGATTCATTACAACACCTTCAAGAGGAGGAACTGCTATACAACTGTTAGTAATCGATCATAACTCTGAAATATATCTGGCAGTTTTCAAAGTCTTGTACCTTTGGACAATAAAAGGGTTGGTGATGCTTGCCCAGTGATATGGTACATATCAGATATTGGTACATCCAGATATATAAATCCTTTGTTATAGAAACTGTATACTACATTGTAATCTAGTGATCCAGAGAGTTGAGGACCTGAATGGATGATCTTATCAATAGTGAATTTCTCAGGCAAAATGCATATCTCGATGTCATCTTCTGTGATATATCCAGCCTGCACCACCCACCACGCCTCTATGGCAATTTCCATTGGCTTTATTGGTAGAAGACTATGGCTGTTTTCCTTCTGAAGAATTTTTTTGATGATCTACACTGATTCATAAGGTCAATATACTGGTTTCTTCCTATGCCAAGAAGCCTTAGACAGCAGCAGTAAAATTGGGCAATGAATCATAACTTTTCTCATTATTCATAATATCCTCCATAATCCCAGTATAAGATGAAAATGGTGTTATCCTCAAGACTTTCACCATAATATCCAATAAATGGTAAGGGTACAGCATGAGATGATCTTGGCTGTACTTTAGCAGTTCCTCATAGTATCTGTGTTCATCTTGCTTGACATGTTTATTTCAATATCGTAACTGATTGCAGATACTGTACAGGACAACCTGCTTTTCATATTCTCTCTGTGAATTTCCAAGTCTCTGTCTCATGTTGGCTGGCAACTTGCACCAGGGGTAGTTGTGCCTGATGTGGAACTCCACGTCTATATTCATAATGCCATGGCCAGGGCCGGTGGTGGGGTCTGTGACTGCGACCCACCCTACACCTCTTGCTGTGGCCTGTCAGGGAAGCCCTGTGGGAGGCCTAGCATCTCACACTGTGGAAGGCCTGGTCTGCCCCATGTACTGGGCTCCTGACTGCTCGGCTTGGCCCGGATCAACCGAGCACAGGAGCAGCAATGATGGGAGACTGGGTCATCTGAACAGCTACATGTTTCTTCCGAGTTTTGGCCCATAATTATTATTATTGTTATTATTTGAGACAGAGTTTTGCTCTTGTTACCCAGAAGTGCAGTAGTGCAATCTCAGCTCACCACAACCTCCACCTCCCCGAATTCGCACGATTCTTCTGTCTCAGCCTCCTGAGTAGCTGGGATTACAGGTGACCACCACCACACCCAACTAATTTTTTGTATTTTTAGTAGAGACAGGGTTGCTGCATGTTGGCCAGGCTGGTCTTGAACTCCTGGCCTCAGGTGATCCACCCGCCTCAGACTTCCAAAGTGCTGGGATTACAGGCATGAGCCACTGCACCTGGCCCGTTTACATAATTTTAAAAAGCTTGATATGGATTATTTGAATATTTAAAATAAAATAATTACTTTTGTTATTTATATACTTCAATCAGTGCCTTAGCCATGTCTGTTTTTAATACCTCATTATTGCATTAAATGACTAAAGCCATTTAATTTTTAAAATAAAAATGTTTACAGTTTTCTTCAAAATTAGTTTATAGTTTATGTACTAGGAATTATTGACATTTAATTGGCTCTTATCTGTAAACCACATATTGCCCTTCCCTTTCCTCTTTTTTTTTTTTTTTTTTTTTTTTTTGAGACAAGATTTTGCTCTATTGCCCAGGCTGGAGTATGGTGGCATGATCACCACTCCCTACAGCCTCAAATTTCTGGGCTCAAGCAATCCTCCTACCTCAGCTTCCTGAATAGCTGGGAACATACGTATGCACCACCTCATCCATCTAATTTTTAATTTTTTTATAGAGACAGGGCCTCACTATGTTGCCCAGGCTAGTCTCAAACTCCTGGCCTCAAGTGATCCTCTAACCTCCACCTCCAAAAGGGCTGGGATTAAAGTTATAAGCCACCATGCCAGGCCTATTTCTCCCTTAAATATTTGGTGAAATTCACCAATAAACCCATATAGGCCTGGTGGTTTCTGTTTTTGAAAGCTGCTAATTATTGATTCTATTTCTTTAGTAGACAGAGGCCTATTCCAGTGGCCTTATTTCTTTTTTTGTGAGTTTTGGTGGATTGTTTTTTTCAAAAATTGGTCCATTTTATCTAGGTTATCAAATTTGTGGGCATAGACTTGTTCATATTATTCCTTTACTATGATCATGAGGTCAGTATTGATACCCATTTTTTCATATCTGGTAATAATTTCTGTTGTCTTTCTTTTGCTCTGAGTAGAGGCTTGTAAATTTTGCTAATCTTTTCAGAGAATCAGATGAAAACTGATTGGTTTTCTCTATTGATTTCCCATTTTTACTTTCATTGATTTCTGTTCTGATTTTTATTATTTCTTTCCTTTTGCTTACTTTGTGTTTAATTTGCTTTCTTTTCTAGTTTCCTAAGTAGAAGCTTAGACTATGAATGACTTTAGATTGTCTTTTCTTTTCCCTTTCCTTCCTTCCTTTTTTTTTTTTTTTTTTTTTTTTCTAAATAAGGTCTCACTCCAGTTGCCCAGGCTGAACCTGTCAGGCTCAGGTGATTCTCCCACCTCAGCCTCCCAAGTAGCTGGAAGTACAGGCACACACTACCACAGCCGGCTTTTTTTTTTTTTTCTTTTAGTGGAGATAGGGTCTCCCCATGTTGTCCAGTCTGGTCTCAAACTGGACTCAAGCAATCTACCTGCCTCAGCCTCCCAGAGTACTGGGATTACAGGTGTGAGCTGCCACACACGGTCTAGATTTTATTTTCTAATATATCCATGCAGTACTATAAATTTCCTTCTTGTTTCACTGCATTTGCTGTTTCACACAAGTTTTGATAAGTTGCATTCTCATTTAGTTCAGAATTTCTTTTTATATCTCTTAAAATTTCTTCTTTATGTGTTTTTTAGAAATGTTTTGTTTAATCTCCAAGTATTTGGGGATTTTGTAGCTCTGTTTCTGTTTTGTGATTTCTAGTTTAACTCCATTGTAGTCTGAAAGCATACATGATATATAATTTTTATTCTTTTACACTTGTTAAGGTGTATATTTTGTGGCCCAGAATGTGGTCTGTTTGGTGTATATTCCATGTGAGCTTAAGAAGAATGTGTATTCTGTAGTTGGACAAAGTAGCTGGGATTACAGTTGCCTGCCACCATGCTTGGCTAATTTTTGTATTTTTAGTAGAGACAGGGTTTCACTATGTTGGCCAGGCTGGTCTTGAACTTGTGACCTCAGATGATCCACCCACCTCAGCCTCTCAAACTGCTTGTTACAGAGTGAGACACCACGCCTGGCCTATAGATGTCAATTATATCCAGTTGATTGTTGGTACTGTTGAGCTCAGTGATGTTCGTCCCGATTTTCTGCCTGCTATGTCTGTCTATTTCTGAGAGAGGGGTATTGAAGTCTCTAACTATAATAGTGGACTCATCTTTTTCTTTTTCACATTTCATCAGCTTTTGCCTCACATATTTTGATGCTCTGTTTTTAGCCACATACACTTTATAAGGATTGTGGTGTATTCTTGGATAATTGGCCACTTTATCGTTCTGTAAAGTGCTTCTTTATCCTTAATAATTTTCCTTACTCTGTTTTCTGCTGTATATGAAATTAATACAGCTACTCCAGCTTTCTTTTGATTAGTATTAGCATGATATATTTTCTCAATCCTTTTAATTTATAGTTGTCTTTATATTTAAAATGGATTTCTTGTAGACAACATAGAGTTGGGGCTTATTTTTTGAACCCCTCAACTTGAAATCTATGTCTTTTAATTGGTATGTTTGAACTATTTAAAATGATTATTCAGAAGGTTGGATTAACATCTATTTTTTATTGTTTTCTATTTATTCCTCTTGGGTTTTTTTTTTTTTTTTTCTGAGATAGGTTCTTGCCCTGTTGCACAGGCTGGAGTGCAATGGCACAGGCACAATCATGGCTTACTGTAACCTTGAACTCCTGGGCTCAAGCAATCCTCCTGTCTCAGCCTCCCAAAGTGCTAGGATTATAGGTGTGAGCTACTATGGCTGGCAAAAGCTGTGACCTTTATAGGTTGAGGGGGACATCAAGAAAGTAGAAGCTTGCTTGACTGGCTGGATCTTGGGAGATTTGTTTTGTTTTGTTTTGTTTGCACAGTCTCAATACCTTTAATACTATAGTTTTCAAGACACACAAAATAATATTTTAAGACAAAAATCTTGGGAGATTTTTTTTGCCATCCTGGGTCTTGGGCCTCTCTTAGCTGGAGCTGCAGCAGACATTTCAGCCACATCTCACAATTCTGATTTCATCTATCCCTCTCCCACAACATAACAACCAGGAGCTTTATTTGAAAGCCTAAGCCTGATATGGTGACCTTTACCCTGTGCCACCCCTGAGAGCCTCCCACCCTCCACTGGCCTCTGTTTGTGACATTCACCTTGATGTTTGAGTGCCAAGTTCCTCTCTCTTGGTGTCTCACACCAATAAATCAGAAGAATACAAAAAACTACGTAATTCCTATGAGCCAACCAGGGGAAAAATGAAGACCAACGATCCAAGGAAAAGGGGTGTCGATTATCATCTCTGGTGCAAATTAATCAAAAAAATATAGGCTGATCATGGACTCAAGAAGTGTAGGGGAAAAAATGCCAACTCTAGCAGCTTTTTCCTTGGACCCTAACATGGAAGCAAAGTTCACATCTTCTGTCCCAATCCTGATGGAGACCACCTGTGGTCGGCAGGTCTATTGATTTGCTCTGCACGTGTGAATACAGCCTCAAGACTTCCCCCAGCTTCCCACCTCATCCTTCCTGTGGAAGTCACTATATGTTTGGATAGATTCCAGGGTGCCATGGGGCATGTTGCCAATGGGCAGGGGCACTACTACAAAAAGGCTCTGCACTTGAGGCCCTTAGGGGCACCTCTGTCTCCATGAGCCTCCTTTGGCAGGACAGGCTGATCCTGCTGTGCTAAGACTGGTCATCTCGTTTCCATTCCTATTCTGGGCCAAGAGCTCCTGGTGCCTCAAGCTCCTGCCCCTGTGTCAGCCTGTGAGTGGTAGGATTCTGAGGTCCATGTTGGGTTAGAGCAGTAGGTCTCAGCCAGGAGACGTTGTCACATCTAGGGAGAAGGTCCTGCTGGGATCTAATGGGCCAGGGATGCTACTAACATGCTCCCATGCAAGGGACAGCCCTCAGAACACAGGTCTATCTGGTCCCAAATGTCAGAGAAGCCCTGGCTTAGGGGAACGGGTCCTCTGGAGGGCATGGCTTTAGGCTTTCAGCCCCTCTAAGAATGAGGTTCCTTACTTTTTTTCTTCATCTCTCACTGGCCCAGATGTAGGGCAGGGAAGAATTAGGCCAGGGCAGGATCCAAGCACTCCTGAACCTCTGAGCCAAATGTGGTTCTCCAGATAGCACAATTTCCCCTAAAAATGCAGGCCGAAATGAAATGGGTGAGAAACATGCTTCCCTCCATCTTCTAGTACATTTGCTCTAAAAACCCATCTTAAAAATATGACAAGGACATTTACTGTAGCACTGTTTATAACTGAAAAAGATTTTTAAAAACCCTAAATGTCCACTTATAAGGACGAGATAAATATGATACATTCATGCAGTGAAATTATATGCAGTTGTTGAAAGAATGAGGCGGCGCTAAATATAATGATATGAAACAAGTTCCAAGACATACTATTAAGAATACCAAGGCCAAGCACAGTGGCTCACACCTGTAATCCCAGCACTTTGGGAAGCTTAGATGGGAAAATGGCTTGAGCTCAGGAGTTTGAGACCAGCCTGGGCAGCATAGTGAGACCACATCTCTACAAAAATTAAAAAATTAGCCAGGCATGACGGTGCACACCTATGGTATCTGCTACTTGGGAGACTGAGGTGGGAGGATCACTTGGGTCCATGAGGTTGAGGCTGCAGTAAGCTATGATTGTGCCACTGGGCTCCAGCTTGGGTGACAGAGCAAGACCCTGTCTCAAGAAAGAAATAGGATGAGGCTGGGCGTGGTGGCTCACACCTGTAATCCCAGCACTTTGGGATTAGCTGGGCG